ATCAGGAGGAAGTTTTCCTGTAGAAAATGACTCGAAGTGACTCGAGTCAATTTTTGATGCGACACGGACTCGAACCTCGACTCGAAGGCTACTGACTCGGACTCGACTCACACTCGAAAAAGTAGTGACTCGCCCATCTCTGACCATTTGATGATTTTACTGAAAAGATGATTGATCCTTCGCCAGAAACATCACTCGAACTTCTTAATGACTGTAATCATATTAACGACTCACTGGTGTTGAATGAACCATTACATACGGGTACATGTCCAAATTATACTTTTGTCTTTGATAATGACCTTTTTCCCTTTTTTTAGTTCATCCTTTTGATATCAATGAACAATTCGATGAAATTAAAGGTTAGTAAATAGTCAAGTTGTTCACTTTAAAAATATGCTGCATGATCGATCACTCTGATGAAACATCATTTTTTCCAAGATAATGAAAAAGTGGAGAGTTAGTTCCGATTAACAAGAGGGAATCTTTTACGTACCTAGAAAGTAAATCATCAATAGAATAATAATTTGCAAAAAAAGATTGTTTAATAGATTTTGATTGATTAATATTTATTATTTTTATTTATTAGACATTTTAACACCACCCGTATGGCATTGTTTCAAAGTGAAGTCCGTGTCAGCTATTAGTTTACTGTAGTCCAGTACAATTTGTTACAGATGAACGTCCTTAATGTATAAAGTAAAATCGGAATTGAAGTCATCAAAAAGACTTTGTTACACTTCTTCAGCTTGAGTTAAATCATAGTGGAACAGTAGTGTCTGAGAGAGAAGATGAATTAAATATAGACTTGTCCGATCCATGTGCATTTGAAGATTTTAAAGAAATATCGAATAACTTATTCGCAGATATGAATGGTAAATAGCTACATACACTCACTGAAAATGAAATATAGACATTAGGTCTTTGTGCAAGTAATGATTCATTTGGTGCAACATCTGCAGAAGATCAAATCATTGAAAGTAAGTAATTTATTCTCAAAAAACCGTCGTTTTCTTATTGATTATGCGGATTTTTTTTGTTTTTAAGCTATTCGAATAACGACTAAAGCATCTGTATCAATCCTGAAGAAAAGCAGAGGTAATTCTATAAATATGATACATTATATGGAACTTATGTTTAGTTTCCATATCGAATCTGGTCATTCGTTATAACAGTTCCAAAAGTGTTCAATCTGTACAAGAATTTAAACATAAATTTAAATCAAGTATTTTTATACATAAATAAAATTTTCACTTAATTTGTAGAGAATAATTCAAACAAATATGCCAGGTTAAGTTCTTCTCGGAGGTAACAGTTACCGCGATTGTAAGTAACACTAGTAGTCGATGTTTACTTCACTAGGATGGTAATGAGTTTCTATTGCTGAAAACTAAAGACGTGAATGTTCGATTTTTCATTACTTAACGCCTCCACCATACTTTTATTTTCTAAACTACCAATGTATGACGACAACTAAAGAAAGAGACATATGTCACGATAGTTGTTTTGGGTATTTTCCCATAGAAGATAAAATGATAGCGATGATATGTATCATCGTAAAAATAAAATAATAATACATTTTCAAGATTATTCTTCGTGGAAGAGTAGTTCCAGGATGATAAAATATTCAGGTCACAGCAATATCAATTTGTAACTGTCATAACTGTAAGTCCGATAAAATTCTCCCTTCTCTGTTTTTTTTACATCAGATGGAACATTTTTATATCACTGAAGCGCATCATCATTCTCTAATTCTCAAAAGACAAAAAATGCTGCTATTATCGCTACTGCTGCTACTGTCTAGTTTTTTCGTTGTAAGTATATGTACAGAGTTCAAGTAGGGAAGTTAGTAATACCGTAGTTCAAAATGAATATTTTTAGACGGTGGCTACTGCTGATGTTGATAACGTCGTTGTTTTCAGTAATATAACTTCATCCTCACCAATACCGAATTTACCATTATTATCATTAAAAATGCAAAATAATTTGAATGAATCAATTCAGACACTATTATTGGTATTAGAAAGGGAAAAACTGAATTTCACACTGGAAAAACAAACATTTCAACAAGAAAAGCAAAAGTTTCAGCACGAAAAAGAAAAATTTGAATCACTGAAACAACAAGTGACATCGCTGATAACACAAGATGATATTATACATGTTAATATCGCCGGTGAAACAATGGTTACCACCCGTTCAACTCTAACATTTATACCAAATACAACATTATCGTACATGTTCAATGGTGAATGGGATCATCGATTAAAGAGAAATAATACAGACAGCAGTGGTGGTGGTTTAATTTATTTAAATTATGACCCACTATTATTTAGACATCTATTAGGTCAATTGAGAAGATGGACAAATCGTAATAGAACTGGCAAATTTCTTTATGCACCAACAACATCTATGACGAATAATCCATTGGCTGAAATTGAAGAACAGTATAATGAAATGCTGATGCAACTTGGATTTGAATCATTTGTTTATAATGAACATGATGGTACGTGTCTTAAATAAAATTCAACACTGAAATTCAAATTGTCTAAAGAGAACAGCTGAAGCCTTACGGGTGTTGTTTGTTTCTAATCTTTTAACATGTTAATTTTAAAAGTCGACAGACACGAGCAAAGCACTACTACAATAACAACAACAACAATAACAAGATTAGTCATGGAGCCAAATAATTGTAAGTAATAAAAAAAAAATGAAAAAAAATGAAAATAAAAAACGAGCGTAAACCTTCAGGCTGTACAATATTTAAGCTGTTTTTATATTCTGGTTATAAGAAATCAACAAGAAAACATTTATAGAACCCTCTGGTTTTCCGACAGGGTTTCGAAAAACCTTCAGAACGAAAAGTTCATTTTAGAATTTTTTCGATTTCATAATCACGTCTAGCGGACAGAATTAACGATTTGCTGAAGTTGTAGACTCGTTTTGATGTTTTTTGGGTGAATTGTGAATTTTTTAATAATAGGTGAAAATAGGCGGAAAACTCTAATTTTTGAAGAACATCGTTTTCGCTAGACTTTAAAAACCCATTTTCAAAAAAAACTTGCCATGAGGTTCAACATAGTCAAAACCTATGGTTCCGTGCATTGCTGACATTCATTGATTGAAATAGAGAGCAATCCTAGGGCTCTTCCCTGCGCAACCAAAATCCCATTCCCTGCGCACGCAACCATCGCAGATGAAGCTCTCATTAGGACACTTTAGTCTATTTGTTCATGAAAAGAAACCAATATATTGCTATGTTGAATTTTCCAGTTAGAAAACGATTTTCCAGAGATCTCCTTTAAAACCGATTTTTGAAAAATATTTGTAAATATTTTCTTCTTACGAAAACCTGCTCTAATTCTTAGCTATCGAACAGCGAAAACTGCAAGACTTCATCTATTTTTGTTCAACAGCTATTCCAAGAATGGCTACCGGTCTTATATTTTGGCTTCGATAATAGATTGAAACAATTGAGTAGTCGAGTATCGAGTAGGACTCGGACTCGATGCATGCCTGGTTCACAAAACTAAACGCAATACAGTGTTTCTCAGCACCATGACATATTCTAAAAGGGATTTATTAACTATAGTAGTAAAATATAAATAAAGTAAAACAGGAATAATGTTCATTGTTTCATTTTTATTACAGTAGCACGGAAAAACTGTTACAACAAGAAAACATTTGGTACAGATTATACTGGAACACAAGGTTCCACAGGTTTTGCCCGATGTCACCCTTGGTCCCATATGTCTCTGAATGCTAGTATGATAAAAGGTTTCCCAAATGGTGACGTTTATGCAGCAAAAAACTATTGCCGGTATACATTGTGATTTAGATTTAACATGTGTTCATGTCGTTTTATTCTTAAATCTATTTTCTTTCTCTCTTTTACGGTCAAAGAAATCCTACTAATCATACCCGTGGACCCTGGTGTTACATATCAGAGACTGGAGGACAACAATTTTGCTTATCCGTGCTGCCAACATGTAATGGTAAGTATGTCATATCGAATGAGTCCAGAATGACATGCCACGTGTCTAAAGTTTTGAGAGCAGGTTGTTATCAGAAATCTCTTCAGACCAATAGAGAGACAAGCAGCGCTGTTATGATATGTGAAATATTTTGAGAGATAAAAGGCGAGCAAAAGTTGAGAATTTGGCTTATTTTTAGAAACGTTACCGATTTTTTCGGAATATTTCTCTTTTAAAATATTTTTTTAAAATCTTAAAAAGAACGTTTTTCCGAGCTAACTCGATCAACTCTATTCAGTCATACAAAATTCGAAGGAAAAAAGATCCAGCTGAGCTTTTGAATTGCCGGTACCTTACCTGGATTGTGAAAAGCACGTTTGCGAGAAGTGCCCAATTATCTTCGAGAGACAGAGCACTGGTAAAGTCTGTTAAAAACACTAATGGTTTTAGTAAATTCAGCACCCAGTTCAAATGCTTGGAAAGTAGACGAAGCCTCACGGTATTTGTGTAACTACCTGTTTGCTTCTTTCCTTTTTTTAGATACATCAACAGATACCACAGGTAAAATATTCGAAGAACTGCGCGCTTTGTCAACTGTGCGTTTTTATTACTTTTTCATGTTTGTATTTACAGGGAGGACATCCGGTATATATGGCTATTCACAAGGTTTAACAGCACCGTGCGCAAGCTCTAGTGATTGTAGTACAGATGGTGCAATATGTAGTTGTAACACTGCTAATTGTTATATCACTGTATGTTGTATGCCACAGGGTAAAGCATGTTTCACGAGTAGTCATTGTTGTGGCAGGGCTACGTGTCAATCACTCATTTGTTCAGAAGAATAAGTTTTTCTATTATCATATCAAAAACTATTTAAAATTATACGAATTGCTCTCAGTTTGTATTCAACGATTTGTTAAGCCTTTTTCGTTCAACAAAATACAACATTTTTTTAATAAATGCTATTATAGTACAACATTTTGTTTTAATTATTATTCCAATCATTGTGTCCATGATATTATAATCCAGGACAAAACCTTGGTGTCCAATACTAAACATAACAGTGACAGGCACATAAGCTAAAGGGCTGATGGAGTGGACGGATTTTGTTCATACATCCAATGTGTTCTGGTCTACTGTATCGAGTGGCGAAAACTTTATTCGACATCACTTTTCTATCAAAAGTTATTCGGAATATGACCGTATTCACTCTGTTTTGAAACAAATGATAAGCAGCGCGTCGACAATAGACTCGCCTTCAACTACTTGTTGTTCTTGTGATGTAATTCAAAGAGATCTTGGATCAGTGAGCTCCAGAATATATTTGTGAATATTTTTTCAATTTCATGATGCCAGTGTTGAGAACGCACAATGTTGTTCGAGCCGACGATATCATTGAGTTGTTGTTAGGGGAGATAGGCGTTGGAAAGTTGACGTTTGTTAACGCATTTGTCACACATCAAACACTAGCTGATGCTATGACTGGAAATATGATATCAGTATTCCTACATCATTCATGATAATAGATCTAGAGACATTCGAAGAAACAATAGTGAAAATGGATGAAGATTTCAGTGTAGCTGATATTCTCGGTCAATCAGCAACACAAGGTTGTCGAAATTACGTGTTTTCAATCGGTAATAGAAAACTACGCATTATCGATACACCTGGTGGTGGTGGTGGTGATACACGTAGTGTCGATGAAGATACAAAACATTTTGATAATATTTTATGATTTATTATATCATTTATTTTATCATTATGACTATATAAATGGTATACGTATGCAGTTGAAAGCAAGTGAGTTAAGATTAAACGTGTGTTTTCGCTTCTGTATCAAAGATCTTTTGACTCATCTACATCGAAGTGCAGAAAGAAGATTTTCGAAAGAGATGGAATACGTCTGGTGAAGAGTCAGGTAATCTGATTCTATGTATCAACACTTGTAAACCACACCGTGTTAAAGATACTGTTTCATTGAATGAAGCACGACTTCTCATTGTTGAATTAACCAGACAAATAGCAGAAAATCACACAAAATATTCAATCAAACATTAAAGTAGCAGAAGATAAAAAACGAGAATTGGATAATATCAAAATATCAATTAAAGACTTGAGTAAACAATTAAAAATTCCTGCTGCAGATTTACACAGTACTCTGCTTCCATATCCTCGACCTGTATGTACGAGTTTACACTACGTTAAATTCGGAAAAGTTGACAAAATCGATTATATTACACACAGTCATAAACACTGTTATCTGCAAGAGAATACATCCTATTCCGCGATGTTGATCATTGCGGAATCAGTTCCTAGGAGTTCCGTAATTCCTTGAAGAATCTATTATTATTCTGCAATCATCAATAGGATACAACTTATTCTCTGTCGGAATTCTCGAAATTTCTTTAATGGGTAATTCCTGGGAATTACTAGCAATTCCGGAATTACGTGAAGTATCTGTTGATATACTGTAATCATCAGAACTATACAGTTTATTCTATACTGGAATTCTCGGAATTCCTTCAATGCGGAATTACCAGGAATTACTAGGAGAAATACTTGAAGCATCAGTCTCACTCTCACCACCCTCAACGTCCCCTCACTCTCATCCTATCAATAGATACCTCCAGTAATTCCGCATTGAGGGAATTCGGGCATGGAATAAGTTGTATGCCATACATCATAACAGTATATCAGTAGATACTTCAAGTAATTCCGGAATTCGTAGTAATCTCGGAATTCCGTAGCTTGAGTGGGGATTGAGTTCCCGGAATTCCTAGGAAATGATTCCGAAGTGGAACCGATTCCGGAATGTTGAACATTGCGGAATAGGACGATTACTCGTCGCTTTCAAAGGCACATCATCTGATGCAGTTTTTGATACTGATTCCAAATATCACCTTGTTTTTGCTTTAAAATTGCCACTAAATTCTCCAAAAACTGAAAACTCGCGGTTAATCGACCATCTTGTTTTCAAGTTTTGGAACTTTTGCACCACTTTTAAAACAAAGTTTTTGCATTCAGTTTGTGGAAAATTGAATTCTTTATTGCATGTGGCCTTCGAATTCTTAGCTAAATTCTGTTTGGAGGGTCGAAGATGGCATTTTCTCGACAGTTTTGATCCTTCAAAATCCCAATTCCAATTGATGTGGATTTTAAATAGTCACTTCCTACTTCAGAAAAATTAGGAACTATGTGATTTTGTTTACTTTTTATCAGGCTTTCGAATGAGACGTTGCTCGAACAGAACGGATAACAAAATGGCGAAGTGATAGTCAAAACATCAGAGATGGCTACTTTTCACAAATCGAAGATTGTGTTCATTTTGTAAATTCTATAACTCAGCCAGAATAAGTCAGAAAGTTCTTTTTATTTTTCATAACCCCAGTTTTGATAGTAGAATCAGAATATGAAATAAAAAGTATATGTCAATTTTTCACCCGTGATCGGTCCTTGGCAAGATACTCGATCGACTGGCGAAGCCTTTCTTAAATGTCTGTCTTCTCCTTGTTGATAACAGACGAAGACAGAATCTTTAGGTTTGAGCTCTGAAAGTTTGTCCTTATATAATATCAATGCATATTGGGTAGAGGAAAATGTTTGGCAACAGCTTAAGGAGTAAGCTAGTTTCTTGGTAATTCCATGTCAAAAAAACTTTACCATTGGAATGAAGAGAAACTGGCACACAAGCTAAAAAATTTTAATGTCGGACTTTCCGAACCTGATCATCTTCATTACTGACACAAGCAATTTCGTTGTATCCAGAACAACAAATTAGTAATAAATTTGAGAATTCGAACATAACCATCATTGGACAATGCTATACAGTCTTTGTGACTGAAGATAAAGTTTAAGTTTTTGTTTTATTGCCGGTATACATTGTGATTTAGATTTAACATGTGTTCATGTCGTTTTATTCTTAAATCTATTTTCTTTCTCTCTTTTACGGTCAAAGAAATCCTACTAATCATACCCGTGGACCCTGGTGTTACATATCAGAGACTGGAGGACAACAATTTTGCTTATCCGTGCTGCCAACATGTAATGGTAAGTATGTCATATCGAATGAGTGCAGAATAACATGCCACGTACCTGAAGTTTTGAGAGCAGGTTGTTATCAGAAACTTTTACACTGCAAGAGTTTTCAAAGTTTTTATTCCTGTTACTGTACTGCTTCACTGAAAAATTTTATTTTTTGTAGTGTTACCAACTACGTGGATGAAAAATACCTGTCTGCGTACTTCGTCCTAATGGCACAATTAGGATGTGTTATGTTACTGCACAAAAACGTCTCTTTATTAGAAAAATATTCAGAAAAATAATAAGCATTTCTGCTTCTGACTAGAAATGATCACTCTAGATCAGACTCTTCACCTTCCTTCAACCATGCATGTTTCAATAAAGTTCTCAGTCCTATTTGACGGCTTTTAACTGCATATCTAAAATCCGAATATGAATCTGACTGAAATATTTGTACAATTCTCGGATAACGATCCCATAAATTCTCTAGGGACTTTAATAAAAACTCATTTCGATCATCTTTTTTATCCACATCAACCTGACACCAACCAAAATCAATAAATGTTAGCATGGGATCATCATAATAGTAGTTAGTAGCATTAAAATCACAACTAATAAGATGATGATCGAGCAGTTTAATCATATTTGAGATGAATATTCTGACGAAACGTTTTGCTTGTGCTTCTGTAAAATAAGTGAAATCGCTGTGAAGAAGATTTTCCCATAGAGTTTGTCCTGGAATATATTCAAAAGTAATAACATAACAGTTATTATCAGGAATTCTTCTCGCTCCACCTTCGATACACCGGCTTATGGGTAGCAAGGGACAAATTCGTCCTAATTCACCCACATACTGTTCTATAGGCACATACCTATTGTCCTCGAATATATTCCTACTTCGGTTATAAATAATGTCTTTAGGAACATAATTACAATCTTGTAATGTTTGTAACGCCCATAGATCGTGTTGAGAAACGAAACTATCAATATAGTTAGCCTTGAGAAATTTTACAGCGACTAAACGATTATTATTCCATCGATCGTGTGCATAATAGACTTGACTCGTCGAACCAAGTTTTTGGTCGAGATGCAAATTGAGTTGAAAACGACCGAGGCCTACTTCATTCAGTAAACCTTGGATATTGTTGAGAGATATGCGATCGTGTTGTAATTTAAATTTTACCTAGTATTAAAACAATGAAAAAATACTTTCTCCATATTTCCGTCTATCAATGTAAATTGTTTCATTACTTACTGTTTTTTCATCTCCTTTCTTCATTCGAATGTCGTCGTTTTTTATTGCAAGGTTACCCTTCACTGTATTTTAATCTGTTTATCATTTTGTATTTGATCATTAAGATAAAATCATAGACACTATGTGCAAGCTTTGTACACAAATAACGAGGGTTACAGCCTAAGTCGCGGCTCGTTTGTCTTACTTGTCAGATATCATCATCATTAACATCCACGTTTTTTGTAACATAAATACTGTAGCTTATTTAGGTGAGTTATACACATTTCATCGCGAATACGGACTTTCATCACCGTTGTTCACGAAAACTGCAATTTGACATTGGTTTATATTTGTATCTACCCAACAGAATTTTCATAAAAGAATGACGGGTACCTGATCAGTGCCTGGTTCTTGAAAAATGTCAAGATTAGACCAAGATCTACTGTTGGTCTTATCAGTTTCCTACAAATGACTTCAACGATGGACTCTATTCGATACTACTATCCACTTCTTGAAAAATTCTTTTTATTCTTTTTTAATACTTCTCTTGTCTTAAAATCAAGCATGTTGTAAGTGGATAGCACATAAACTATCTATGCACTGTGATAGTTAGCCACTCTCGTGCCGCAGAACGGCAAAATCTTCGAAAGTTCATAAATTTAATTTTATTAGAAGTGCATAGATATTTCTTTTTTCATACACCTGGGATCTGGGCATTTATGAGAGTTCATACTTAGTGCTGTGAGATATAAGTGCTAGTTTCTATCCTTTAACAGCCGCTACGTCGTCTGATTTGACACATCCCGATAAACTAGCGACATACAATGCGTCGGCGACCTGATTATGACGTTTTAAGTGCTTCTGCTATAGTGACACGGATGCACTTCAAACCCATTTTTGGTACTCAAATTCATTGAATGGAATGCTGAGATTCATGCTGAAAAGGTCAAAGCTTTTGTTTGAAAAGGTCAGATTACTCTGGCAAACAGTGGCTGATGTGATATTCGTCGATGCCGCCACTTAACAGCCGTTTTTGTGCAGCGTAGTAAGACGACAGGGCAAGGATCATTCTTGTCTGCCTCTAATGTAAACAAATATCAAAGCGCTAAAAACCAAATTTACACTAAGCTTGGAAACGCTACTTATAACATATTGCGTCTAATTGTGCAAAGATGCTGAGATCTATTTCTCGTGTGTTTAGGGATGCTCCGCTCCACTCGTTACGTCGTCACTGGTATAAAACTTGTGTTCGCCCAGCTTTGAAGTATGGTACTATCACTTATACCATTCTATTCTACTCACTTATCTGCACTAGACAAAGTACAGAATCTAGCATGTAGACTCATACTACAAGACTGTGTATCCAATTCTACTGTCCTTTCGAGTCAGTTAAATTTATCACCATTATCGTCCGGGAGAAAATTTTCACATTTAGTTTATTTCTATAAACTTTACCATAGTTGTAGTGCTCTTTCTAATAGCAGTGTTATCAGTCGTCCATTCACCTTAACGCTTAATAACCGTAACCGTTGCATGCCTACTTGAAAACTGATGGATTATCGGTAATCGACCATGCTGAGACTCGTGATAATATTCGTTTTTACACTCTTTTATAGTGCTTGGAACTAGTACCACTCTTGCATAATGAAGCCTATACTTGTCTTTTTTCAAGTAAATTCACTTGTAAGTACTTGTCCAACTTGCAGGCACCTGATTTTTCACTTGACAAGCGCCAGAACACCTGCTTGTTAAATAAAATTGCAAGTATTTGCATTGTTTTTAAGACAATATCATTCAGTGTTTTTCGATTGTTGCTTAATATTCACTGTGCGAACCTATATCATTCTATATCCGAACTCCACAAAGAGAATACATTTTCTTAATTCTAGCTATAGTATTCGAGTAAATGGATAGTGGCTAGCGGTCCTAACTTGTCTTGTACAAGCAACTACTGATTTTAACCCTATTTTCAGTTAAAAAAGAATGTTCTTTAAAGCAATAAATTAACCCGTATGTAAGACAAAAAGTGATTGTGAAGAAAAGAGTAAGATACAACTTCAATTAAAAAATAAATTTTTGAAAAAATTAAATTATAAAAATTTTCATTTAAATTTTTAAAATAACTTAAATGTCTTATAAAAGATTCTTGATAAAGTAAACTGTTAAAATTAAATATTTCCTATAATCTATCAGTATTACTGTATAAAACTATGGTTGGGGAAAACAAACCCAATCTTTATTAATTGCTAAAAATTAACATTAAAATCGTCAAAAATTAATAAATTAAAATGATTTTAAGGAATTTTAAAATTTGGAGCGCAAACAAAATGCATTCATAGGTAATCGACTAAGGTGCATCCATCCACACAGGACATATGTTCGAGGTTCCCAAAGGATCTCCCGAAAACCTTTTCGAAAATATCGGGATTTGAAGTTGAAACAAAAAATCTTAAAGATAAATAAATTACGATGTATCTAATGATCAAGGTTTTATAAGAATTCTCAGAGGATTTTCAGAAATGTTTTTCTCGCCCAAGCACAAACAAAGTTCATAAACTTATCATATTCGATATCGTACATAAATCGTTTCTTTTAGTTTTAAGCGTCAAAAAAATCCAAAAACGGTTTCAGAAAGCCTTTGGAAAGTCTTCTAGAAACCTCAATTACTTAGTAGTTGAAAGCGTCACAGTTGATTATTTATGAAAGCCTTTTGTTTTAGCTAAAGTCTCAATGTTTATTAAAAAACATTTCTCAAGATCCTCTGGACACCCACTAATCTCCTCATAAAGCATTGATTATATGCCCACTAGATACACTGTAATCTATTTATCTTGAATTTTCTGTTTCAGCTTCAAATCCCGATATTTTCGAAAAAGGTTTTCTGAAGATCCTTTGGGAACCCCGGATATATGTCTGTTGGATGCAACATAGTTGATTATCTATGAATGCACCCTGTGTGCAATAGATATTTTGAGTTTTTTGGAAGCTAGAAAGTGCCGACCCAATTCGCAGGTACACAATTTCTAAAGAACCTTGCGAAAATGACAAGGAAAAAAATTTTAAAATTTCTCATCATACATTTGTACTATAGCACTAACAGTATAATATATCATATTTAGAAAGAAATCCATCTTGTGCATTAAACGTTATAAGCAGTCCGGCTGAGAAATGTAAACGATTCTATGGCAAGTGAGAAATTTTGAAAACATTTGTCAATTTTTTCAAGTACTTATTAAGTACTTGCATAAAGTACGTTCGCTAGGGACAGACCCATGATTATGTAGTTTTTACTGAATAAAGTTTTACCATTTGCATTCTTCGTTAAATACGGATCAGTAGAAAAAATCTTTTGTTACACCGACGGATTGAATCAACATACTCGATCACTATTAAGAAATAATTTAACTTTATTAACAACTGATGCATAAACTGTTTGATTTTCTTGTCTATTGACAAGCGCACCTGAAAAACGTGTGTGTAATAAATAAAAGAATTTACGGTAAAAATGTCAGTTAGAACGGATTTTTCTAAAATGATTGATCCTCTGTTTGTTCTCAAAAAATGTCACAGATAAACTATGAGACAAATGTTTAAAATAATCGATTTATTGTTTTTAATATTATTGATACCATGCCTTCATTATTCAAAATTCATTTCTGTAGAAGGAGACAGTAGGCATGCAAAGGTAATTTACAAGTTTAGCGTTTTACGGTAGTTTACCGGTAACCGCTGTACCAGTAACCGTTCCTAAATTTTATCTGCAAGGCTCAACTTTGTACACATCCATTTTCAGGGTAGAGAACGATGCTTACTATTTTCTTCCATGAAGATCGTTCCCTAGAAAACTGGTCCGAGCAGATAAAATGTAGGATATTAAATTTGTTTTTTTCCTCTCTAGACGCAACTCTGAAAACTCAAAAATTAGCCAGAAAGGTAATACCAATTTTTCGCTATGTACGAAGAGCATCTCATGCTGACGTGAGTCTAAAGAGGAAAATGTAGCAAATTTCATTTTCTAAATATTATCTACTAAGCTCCACCTTGTATAAATTGATCTACTGTTTTTTTAAACAGTATTATTTTTGTTTTGGTTACTTTCCTTTATTTATTACAAACACTTTTTCAGGCGCATTTTTGTCAATAGACAAGAAAATCGAACAGTTTGCGCATCAGGTGTTAATAAAGTTAAATTATTTCTTAACAGTGAATCAGTATGTTGATTCAGCCCATCAGCTCAGCAGAACATTTTTTCTTTCGACCCGTATTTAACGAAGAATGCAAACGGTAAAACTTTATTCAGTATAACTATACTTTTAGTGGGTGGTTGCTTCCAGGTGAAAACTCTTCATTCATACTCCACATCTTATATTTTTTTTGTCTGTGCAATAGCATGCCATATCGATCAGCAGCTGATAATGATTTAGCTGAGCCGACTTTTGTTCACACGACGTCTTCTGATTCGACTTCTGTTCACACGACGTCTTCTGATTCGCCTCCTGTTCATACGACGTCTTCTGATCCGCCTCCTGTTCACACGACGTTTTCTGATCCGCCTCCTGTTCACACGACGTCTTCTGATCCGCCTCCTGTTCACACGACGTCTTCTGATCCGCCTCCTGTTCACACGACGCCTTCTGATTCGACTCTTGGTCCCACGACGTCTTCTGTTCCGACTCATATCAACGGTCATAAAAGTCCTGTTCCAACGCATATCAACTGTCATAATAGTTCTCCTCTGTCTTCAGTTCGATATAGACTTATCTACATTGTATTAGGCGTTACAAACATTGCAGTGATTGCCGCTGTTGTCGTTCTGTATATTCTGTATAGTCAAAATAATAATAAAAGCAATCAATTTCAAAGTAAGTAATCGTTAACTACAGTCCTTTTCAAATTACGGTGCCGATAACCATTTTTTGAATAGCTCGAGAATGAAATATGATTGAGAGTTCGGGTTTTTACCATTCCAAAGGAGAGACTTTGAAACACATTTTAATAATCGATGTAATTCGAAAATCTTTTTTTAAAGTAGATTTTCGAGGAGA